AATGTTTGTTTCTGTAATTCCTAGTATTGCAATTTCCTCTTCTTCTGCCCAGCTGAGCAAATTCTCTAATTTCCAACTCTTGGTTTTAAGTCCATTTATGTTATGACATGCTAGTTTTATTTCTTTTCTTTCTTCTTTTCATTTCTCTTTTAATGGTTTCTGTCTTGTTCTTATATTTCTAATTTCTTCTTTTTCTATTCTATAACTTTCTTCTTCTTGACAAGAAAATTTAATTTCTCTTTCTTTCTTGAAGACTTTTTTTTCTTTTTGCAAAAATACTTTGATTTTCTTGTCTATATTCATTGGTTCAATTGTAGCATCCTTAGGAGCGTTTAGGTTGGTTTATCTTATTTTTCTCTCTATCTTCTTCTAGTTTTTCTAATCTTTCTACTATTCGTCCTAAGATAGTTTCAATGTGCGAGGTTCCTTCTTGTAGTTGTAATTGTGGTTTCTTTTCTTTTTTTATTTTCTTTTGCTTCTGATTTTTGACTGTTAAGTTTTCTCTATGATGCTCTCTATTTTTATTCTCATTTCTGTTCTTGTTATTTCTTTGTTTGCTTTCTTTTCTTTGGTTATATTCATATATTTCTTCATCAGTGCTTTCCTTGTTATTATCTATTCTTCTGTAACTTGTGTAATCACTTTTCTTTTTACTTTTCACTTTTCTTCCAACATAGTTCGACCAAAATAATAGGTGATTGTTAAATCTTATTGGCTTTGTTTATGCCGTATTCATTTCTTCTTTTGTTGCAAATGTTATTGTTGCTGATCTTCTTTGATTTCTATTTCTATTAAATGGAATATATACTGATTTTGCTCCTCTTTTCTTTAAGCATCGTAATAGTAATACTTCTGATGTGTCACTTGGAAGCTCTAAAATTTTTGCTGTGAATCAGTTTTGTAAGTTGTATTTGTTAAAGTCTTCTTCACCTATGCTTATTCTCACCAACCTGTGTATGCTGATTGGTAGGGACCATGGTATGTTTTCTTCTTTTATATTTTCCACTCTAACTACAGCTAAAGCTTTATATTTGGATCTTCTAATGCATTTAATCTGAGTTTTTTTGAAGTTTCTATACATGTATTCTACTTCTTCTGTATTGATGTTTGCTGATAGGTCCCATATTGTTAGGCATGTATATGGCTCTAATTCATTTTCTGCTAGGTATGTATTCTTATCATCTTCTTTTTTGTTAAATTTCTTGTATTCTTTGAGTTTATTCTTGTCTTTTTTGCTATTGTTTAATATATGTCAACTTGGTTTCTTTTCTTGACTTTTTGAATCTTCTGGAATTAGCTTAAGCCAATCTCCTTCTTTCTCTTTGATTCTATTTATTGCTGCATCTCTACTAAATTCATAGTCAAAATCTACCTCAATTCAACTATTCCTATTTTTGAAAACCTCTTTAATTGTTTTAATGTGATGATTGCCGCGTAGGATCCATTGTGTGTATTTAAATCTTTCTTCTTTGTTTGCACCTAGTATCGCATATGTTGGCATATTTGCTTTGAATGATTTGCTCTTGTCACATATATGATTTGTTAAAGACCACTGATCCTGTTCTATTATGTCTACAAGTATTAGCATTTCATGATTTTTCTCAGTTATTAGCCTTATACTTTTTTTATTTTTATCTACTATTTTTTCTCTTTCTGTTTGCTATAGAGAATCTGATACAATTGGTTCTTTATAAAATAATGTTGATATGCTGAGATCTTGCATTTGGTTGATGACTACATTTAGGTTTGTGCTGGCTTCTTCATCATTGCTCATTTCATATTGTTGTATCTTCTTTTCAATGTAAGCTATATTCATATTTTCTGTATTTTCTATTCCTTCCATTTCTACTTCCTCTTTTGATATTTCTTCACTCTTTATACTCAACAAGTAATTAAATGATTTCGGATTTTGATCTACTGCTAAAAGCTTACTTGCCTATTCTTCTATCATGCTTCTTGTTAATAAAAAGGTCTCTGCTCTTTTGAGTGCTTCAAGTACTTGCCTGTAAAGAAGTACATCATCTATT